AGGGAGTTCTTGATGTTGGACTCCTTGGGCAGGACGAGCAGGATGAGGATCACAAAAGAACAACAATTGTACATTCACACCTTGCTATTTTTGTGGTTACTTATTTAATGATCATCCACTCACTTGTCACTTTGTAAGGACTACTTAGGTGACATTAGTGATACTTTGACAAACACTTTTTTGTGAAGATGATGTATTCAGTACAGGTGGAATCCTCTCAGTGATTTTTTTCTTAAAATCAGAGAGAAAGTAAAGCAACAGAGGAAGGAAAGTGAAGAACACAAATTATATTTCCTTTGGATGATAATTTGGCCAAAGTACAAGAATACCACAAGATAAGCATGGATACAGCTGTAAACAATAGAAAATAAATTGAGTGATCAACCCAAAAAAAGGGTATAAAATATAAGATACTAACATTACATAAATAATTCCTGACACAGAATGTCCCATTTTTTTAATAACCTTTCTTTCTGCATCAATAACTGCTGAAAATTATTTGTGCAGGTATTAGGCATGTTAATTTAAAGTTGTGCGAGAGTTAAATAACTAAAAACTACAAAATAAAAGTCTTTGTTGCTGAAGATCAAAGGAAAAATAGAAACCTGTAGGCCACACGAGTAGCCTTGAAAACGATTTCCCTAGACTCGCCAGAACCAAGTTCTATTGCCTGTGTTGGAGGTGAAAAGGCATACTCCTGCAGAAAATATCGGTAGCTCACTTTTTTAGTTGAGGATTCATTCAACATAAGTCATAAACAAAATTAGGAACTTCAGACCCTCCTTGACATATCCTGAAAACTCAGAAGTTTGTAACTAATGATTTACACAATAATATAACATATAATGAGTTGTGAACTCATTATACTGCTGAAGCAACAAGCTTCAAACAAGTTTTGTTCAGTTACACCTGATGATTAAGTTCGTTCAAACAAAGTATCATCTAACTGGACGATAAGAAAAAGGAATGAAAGAAATGGGAAAAAGAAAATCTTTTTTTATAAAAGGAAACTCAGCTTTATCTAAATACTATGATTTATGAATTCTCAATCTCATTCTTGTTCAGTACCTTGAGCAGAGGCCGCAAATAGAAATTCCCAGGGAATAAGTTATCAAAGAGAAAATATCCACCAGTGCCAGATATTGAGTTATTCCTATAACCATCATCACCACTCAACGATAACAACACAGAAGGTATAGGCATGCTTGCATCATCCTTAGAATACACATGCACAGAGATTTGACTGAGCTTCTGACAAGAAAAGAAATGAGGTCCCAATCTTTTAAGATGGTAACCGGGCTGCAGAAAATAAGATACATATCAGGGATATGCAATCAATATATCTAACAAACACAAAGAATATGCATCCACAATTTAGACTCATCAGTCTAGTAATTAATCCAAACAGGAGCAATATAGAAAATATATATATATATATATATATAAACCTCCCTATCCAGCCAAACATTTGGACCATTCACAATCAGAACCATGACAATTTTTTAGCAACTGCCTTACCCAAGATGCTGGATTAAACTTAAGTTCATTAGATCG